AGCATATGATTTCATACCTTCTTGGTTAGATGCTTCAATCTTGGACAAAAATTGAAGATTCTCGTCAATCTTGGACAAAAATTAAAGAAGTGGTGGCCTACTTTAGTGCGATTAAGGAAGTTCCTAGTTGGACTGCGTCACTGCGATGGCGGATGGTGGAAGAGCACAAGCACAGGCTGCACAGGGAAGTGTTGGACTGCGTCTCAGTGATACAACACAAGGAGAGCCACACCCTAAAAGCTAGCTGATAAGGTGTGTTAAAATTCCGGCGGGCCGAGAACAACGGATAGAGTATCGGATAAAATTAACCACTTGCATATAAAGTCGGGATCCACAATTCTAACCCAAAAGCTTAAGCTAATAGGTAGGGCTTCACCCTTCAATATATGCAAGTGATACTTATCTTTATTTTCCGATGTGGGAACTCCAACACTCCCCCGCAAGTGGTAACTAGCCTGGCCTAGTTAGCACTTGGACAAACGGGTCTAGCATCTCAATCTCTTATAGCTAGCCCACACAACGGGCGGTGTATCCACAATTCTAACCCAAAAGCTTAAGCTAATAGGTAGGGCTTCACCCTTCAATATATGCAAGTGATACTTATCTTTATTTTCCGATGTGGGAACTCCAATAAGGTGGGAGAACCCTTGGCTATATAAACCCATCACCAAGTCCCCCATATAACCGGTGTGGGACAATGAAATCAGTCCATATCATTCGACCCCCCATAAGGCCCAACGTCCTCGTTGGTCACGGCTACGTTGGTCACGACCACGTTGGTCACGGCTGGTTTCACCAGGCCACCAGTCCGTGGGCCACAACTCCGTAGGCCACCACTCCGAGTTGGCTCTGATGCCATTGATACAGCACAAGGGAGAGCCACACCCTAAAAGCTAGCTGATAAGGTGGGAGAACCCTTGGCTATATAAACCCATCACCAAGTCCCCCATATAACCGGTGTGGGACAATGAAATCAGTCCATATCACTCAGCCGTCACTGCGATTCAAGACTTCGTCTGCGTCTCTGGCTCTCTGCGATTCAGAAGTCGGAACAGTCGCAACTCGCAAGTGTTAGACTCCGTCTCAGCCGTCTCTGACTCTCTGCCTGAGGATTTGAAGATTTAAGATTTTGAGGAGTCTAACTATTGACCGTAAACCTAAAATACTATTCGGTTTTCAGCGGTTGGGTTTGGTTTTAAATACCTAAAACCGAAACCGAAACTGAATTCAATCGGTTCGGCTCGGTTTTTTGGGTTCGGTTTCGGTTATCACAATACAGTTATTTTTGGTATTGTTCGATTGATTTTGGTTCGGTTTTCGGTTTTCCGGACTTAGCCCTATCATGAACCTTCCGACTGCAAACGGAGCCCAAGGCCCTATCGGTTAGGTCCCGACTAGGAAAGAAACCCATCCCATCCTAATGGGATCCATCGCCTATATTTATTAGGATTTACTCTCTCTTCCAAAAATTAAAGGGTTTTCCATTGGTAGAAAAAAAGTTGTGGTATAATGACCTCAAAGTCTATGTATTTTTGCTACTTATTATTTATTTTTATTAAATTCAAATCAATTTAGATCAACTCGTATTCATTTATATCAGTTCAGATTAGATCTTATTCATTCAAATTAGTTTAGATCACATTAAAATCATTCAGATCAGGTCAGATCCATTTAGATTAGAAAAATATTTCAAAATAAACAACATTAAAATAATATGGACTAATAATTATAATAATAATAACAATAATAATGTTAATAATTATTTTTAACAAACAATCATTAATAAATGATGATAGAAAATAATAATAATAGTAATCAATAATAGTAATTAATAATAATAATTAAAATAATAATAATTAAATTAATAATAATAATGATAATCAGAATTTTTAGTGAATAATAATTAATAATAATGATAAAAACAATTCAAAATAATTTTTATTTGTAAATATAGAGAGAGAGAGACGTATATAAAGAGAGAAAGACAGTTTGAAAAATTGCGAAGAAATTCCAGTCCAAACTCCAACACAATATCACAAATCACGCAACTTCCCACCGCTTGATAATCTTCATCATTAAGCATAACACTTAATATTAAAAATAATAACTGTTTTTTATAATAATAATAAATATAATTATTAAAATAATAATAATTAATAAATAATATTATAATTACTAATAATAAAAATATTATTTTAATATTATTAATATTAATTAATAAAATAATTCATAATATTTATTATAATTACTAATAATATTAAAATAAATTATAATTAATAATGATAATCATCATCAATAATCTAACACTAAGTATTAATAACAATAATAATTAATAATTAAAATAATGTTAATAAATATACTTATAATAATAATAATAATTAAAATAATAATTTTTAATAGTAAAAATTATTTTTTTATGATAATAATAATAATAATAATTATTAATTAATAAAAAAATTTATTATTAATATAATACTAATTAATTAAATCTAAATTAAATAAATTTATAGTTGATCAAATCAGATCAGATTCATTCATTAGATCAAATTGATTTGATCAAATTAAATCCATCTGATCAGATCAGATTAGATCCATTCAGACCAGATCAGATCATATCATATCCATTCAGGTCAAATCAGATTCGCTTTAAAAAATCAATTTAGATCAAATCAGTCAAAGAGAACACAGCCTGAGAAACATTATATCATATAATCATATACTCCCTCCATTCTAGAGTATTTGTCCACTTTCATTTTTGCACACCATTCAATGCACTTCTTTAATCCATTTTATCTTGTAATTTGTATATTAAAAAATTATAGAAATTATATATTATTAATCTATATGTTAAGACAAATCAAACAAGATCACACATGACTATATTTAGGCTTACACATTGAGAGAATTTGATGAGTCAAAGTGCTTAGATGAACAGTTCCAAAAGTCAAAAGTGGACGAATATAGCGGGACGGAGGGAGTATATCTTATCTTATCTTATATAAAGTTTCCATGTGACATAATGTGGGGCATTTGATTTATGAGCTAGACTCCGTTTAATAATACTTGACACGGGATTAAACTTTTATTTTTCATCAAAAATATTATATATATAAATTTGAGTGTTCAATTCATAAGAGCTTGATATTTGGCATAATATGGAGTATAAATGTGGCATAATATGGGACATTTGATTTATGAGTTAGACTCCATTTAATAATACTTGACATGGGGTTAAACTTTTATTTTTCATCCAAAATAAAATTATTAAAACTAAAATATTTCAACAAATATTAATTAAGGATTTAATTAAGGATGCTGCTTAAATATTTATGAGCTAGACTCCATAAAATTTTTCATGCAAGTGATTTGGTTTCTTGGTGTTACATAACCTGAGCTTTTGAAGGATGCTGCTGATCTTGATATCTGTATATAGACTGATAATGAAAAGGGCATAATTACACACACGTTATCTTGACTCTCACTTCATACTATACTTTGATTTGTGTGCTTTTGCACTGTAGGAAGTCATCACTGCGTATGTGGATATACAGAGACACCGGAATTGGTATGACTTGTCAGGAAATTGTTGACTGCCTTGGTACTATAGCTCAAAGTGGATCAACAAAGTTTTTGAAAGCTTTGGAGGTGTATTCTTGAGCATGATCATTTGCTGGTTATACTATCTCCGGCCTGTCGTTATCACATAACTAACTTTTAAGGAGACTTTTACGCTTTAATAGGATATCAAGGATGCTAGAGCTGACAGTAACCTAATTGTGCATTTCGGTGTTGGATTCTATTCAGCTTTCCTTGTTTCTGAAAGGGTATTTTTTTTTGTTAATATACTACTCTCTATGACTTTAACTTGTCTTAAATTTTTGGTGAAGTTTATTACTATTCATTTATGAAAACAGGTTGAAGTCTCAACTAAGAGCCCAAAATCAGACAAACAATATGTTTGGGAAGGGGTGGGGGGGCTAATTCTAGCACCTATTGCATTCAAGAGGAGACTGATCCAAGACATAGCCTCCCTCATATGTTGTGCATATCTCCTCAAACTTTCCCATAGTTATTTCCTACTGACTTGGTCATTGAAGGCGTACACAAAAGTAAATTAAAAGTACTGTTTATTGTCTGGATCATGTGCCTTACAATGGATAGTTTGTGCAGTTCTATCCATTATTTGGACATGGGCCTTCTTTTTATTCCATGCCACCCATATCCTTCCCCTCGGATGGCATTCAGCATTTGTTGTTTTATGACTACTTTTATCCCAATCTATGAACATCTTATTCATAATCTCATCCTCCTCTTTCTTTATTTTAGTTTCTAAGATGCCCATTATGGTAACACTATTTTTATTCACCAACATCTTTATTTCGCACTGCTTCTTGGGGTTATCGAGACCGCTAATATTCCAACTCATGATCATGTCAAAAAGGGGTAGTGACTTGTATAAGGGGCATCGCTCCACCCCCTCTTATTTAGTTCATCTATTGTTATTTTCCTTGCACTTTTCTCCTGACTTACTACTTGAAATCAACCTGTTTGGTCTTCTGCCCCATTTTTCTGCACAGTTTCTTTTTCCTCCTTATTTTCCCTTTCTGCTAGCTTAGGTTCATCCTTTTGTTTCTGTTTGGGTCTCCATACTTTTGTGATAGCCTGATAGGTCCCTTTCTTGTTTTGGCATCCTGTTTTTTCCTGCATTCATCACCAGTATGACCCATTCTATTGCATCTTGAACATATGGTAGGCCTCCATTCATATTCCACAGTCTGGGATATGACTCTCCTCATCATCAGCAAAATGAATAAGACTAGGGATATCTTGTTGCACCTGCACCTCCACTTGGATTCTAGCAACCCCCCATTTTGCTCTTGTGGCTGTTGCCTTATCTCTTCTCACAGGCTTGTCAATCATACTTTCAAGTTTATTCAATCCTGTTAGGCTCCAGTACTTCGCTGGGAACGTAACCCATACTGGTACATCCTTCAGTTCTGTTGTTACATCAATCTCGCACCCTAGACTCAATGCTTTCACATCCTTCAGAAAACTCACATCCTCTATACTTAATCCTCTCCACATACGATGTACAAATCCATCTATAATAACTTCCAAAGGAGGATTAGCTCCAAGGACACACACCACTATTGCCTGATCCAAAAGACCTAAATCCTCTATCCGATCTTCTTTCAGCATTTTAGCAACACACTGTCCTTTAGTTTCATTTGATTGAATAAAGGTAAGTTCATATTCTATTTTATCCTTATCTTCAACCACTTCTGCATAAGATGTCAGTTTCCCCTTTGCCTCTAACACCTTATTCCATCCTTCCCCCTCCAGGATTTCAATTTTCGTGTTAGATTCTAAAATTCTAGGGATTACCTCATTAGGAGTTTTAGGGGTCAGATTTATTCCCTCCAACTTCGACCTCGCTATCTCATCATCAGCAGACAGATCAGTATGGACTGTGGTAATTGATTTCCGCGTCGATTGCATCTCCATTGCTTTCTTATTGGCTCGCCCCCGTTTCCTCGCCATCTAGGTATTTCATTTGAATGTTATTGCGTCGCAGTTCTTAGTTCTTGTAGCTTTTTTAGAAAATACTCCCTCCTTCCCATTTTTCACTTACTTTTTGGCACACCATCCAATGCACTTCTTTAATCCACTTTATCTTGTAATTTGTATATTAAAAAATTATAGAAATTATATATTAATAATCTATATGCTAAGACAAATCAAACAAGATCACAATTTACACATGACTATATTTAGGCTTACACATTGAGAGAATTTGATGAGTCAAAATGCTTAGATGAACAGTTCCAAAAGTCAAAAGTGGACAAAGAGAGTGGGACGGAGGTAGTATATACTCTAGAATTAGACAATTAATTGTATTGTTATGATGAACATTCTTGCTACATGAGTGAATATAACAAAAAACTGATTATGAATCTAAGATTTTTAGTGAATTTTTTTTATAAAGATGACTAAATTTTGTGGTAACATATAGTATTATTTTTATTTGTACTCGATTAAGATGTATTTTCATTCAAAGTATTTTTACTAAATTTTTTCAATTATAGAAAAGTTAAAAATGTGAACTTTTATCACAGGCATACAAAATCCAATACCGAGATTCAATAGGTCTAAATCTAGGATTAAACTTCAAGGATCAATATTTTTAAAAAGGATACAGTATAGACATTATAGACCTGCCCGAACTCGACCCATTGACAGATATGACACTCCCTTCAATTTATTTACAAAGTAATTATAGGGATGGTTTGATCGAACTGAACAGAATCAATCTGAAGTGAGAAGCGTATTAATAGAAAATGAAAAAATTGACAAAAAGCTTTAGTGACACTAAAGTGTCAAAAGAAACCACCCTTTTCGTATCACATCTCGCCTAAGGAGGAAGAACAGTATCACCTTCACCTCCCTTCCGCATCCCGCCTTAGAGCAACTCTAAGGGAAGGGGTATATGAGAGGATAAAGAGTAATTATTGTAATAGATACCTTTTTTTATTAAAAATCATTCTCCAATGGGAGAGGTAAATAATGAGGTATTATATCTTCTTCAATTTTGAAAATGTATCTTTACCTTCTTCATTTGGAGAGATATATCACCTTTTCCCACCTTTTAAATATCTATCAATTATTTTAGTTATTGTATTTTTTGTATTTTGCTTATATGTATTATTATAATTTTTTAATTTGTATCTTTGTAATTGTAAAACTTAACGAGTCAAGAATTAACAAAAAGAGGATACTTTATTTTATAATTTTGTACTCTGTATTTTTTAAGTCTTTTCTACTCGGATATTTATAATTTTACTCGTGCAATTGGACATAATGTATATTTAATTATTTGACAGCTGACATTCTAATTTTTTTCTAATAAATTAGTTGGATTTTTATAAAATCTTTAAATTAAAAAAATTATTTGAAGAAACAAAGGCAACAAATTAAACTTCAAATTTACCTCCCCATGACTTTTTTTAAGAAGGTATATTTTCTTTTCTAATAATTGAAATTTGATTTAAGAAGGTAAATCAACTATTTTTTTCCCATTAATGTATGCAGATGGATTTTTTCCATCCTTTGCCTTTTGATTTACATTCTCCCATTGGAGTTGCATACTTTTTGGGAAGGTAAACTTAACCACTTAGAGAGGTAAATGTGATATAGGGCCTGTTTGGGAATAGTGTTAGCGATTAGCGTTAGCGTTTTCAAAAGGCTATCTACGGGCAGCGTTTAGCGTTAGCGTTTTCAAATTAATCTACACCGTTAAAATTTTATCCAAAACGCTGACGCTAATCACTAACGCTATTCCCAAACAGGCCCATATACCTCTCCAAGATACCTCCCACAATTGAGACTTCTCATTTCCGGGCTATTTTGATGCCATGTCAACGTAATTAAGGGCTCGCTCAATTGGGAACACATTCAATTTTTCTTGACGAATGGAGTTTTTTTTACTAATTCCTCCTTAAATAGTTAGTATCACCCACGTGTGTTGTACGAGTCATATTTACGTTATTAAACTAAGATCATTGTTAAATGATATAGAATGATATCTAATAGAATATAGAGATTTTATCATTTTAAGGTACAAAAGTTTATTTAGTTAACAAAATGGTACAACTCTAGGTTAAATTCTCTCCATCACTTGGCATCAATCTGCACGATTAAAATTTCAAAAATTTTAAAGTAGAAAATTATATTTATAAAACTATATAAACTTAAAAAAGTATAATTGTACTTACTTTTCTCTAGAAGTTTTAACTTCACCGGATTCCTCATTTAGTAAAGCATTGCTAACATTATAAAACGTTGTAATCAACACTCGTTCTAAAATATTAAAAACAGCAAGAATTAGAGTTAAAATTTTATGTCAAACTTTTTCAAATTTATATTCAAACAATATAATCAAAATACCATTGTATAGCTTAGGTTTCAACATTTGCATCACCAAAATTGGAGGCTGTGATTCTGCCTCGTTGAAACCATCGATCACCCAATGCCCAATGCATGTGTACATTTTAACTGAATCCCCCCTACACATTAAAAAATAAAACATAAAAAAATAATGTTCCACGAATTAAGATTATTAATACATCGAAATCATATGATTCGAAATATCTAATAAAATTTATATGAAATTTATTCTTAGCAAAAAAAGACATGAATATAGAATATAATTTCTCACATACTTGTGGTCCTCTAGTGTAACTTTCATCATTTGCTGTAGTGCCTGTTTTATCATATAGGTCTCGAGTGGGCTTGAACTAACAACTTTTCTAATTACATTTGAAAGTACCAAAATATAAGACAAAGCTATTAGAAAAACGTAGTATAAATATGTGCAAGTAATTTAATTATAATAATCTAAATGATGCATACCAATTAAAAGCACACTATCACCAAAAGTCATTTTCTGAGTTTCTTCAAATTCCATAAAGTTGTAACGAAAATTATTTGGGAAGTCCATTTTCTAAAATCTTTTGAAGCTTTGTCCTGTTTTTGTGCAGGTGGAGCCATGGGTCTCTTGGAAACAACATTCCTACTTTCGAATAGGGGCAAAGTCTGCGTACACACACCCTCCCCAGACCCTACTGTTGTGGGATTCACCTGTGTTGTTGTTGTTGTTGTTTTGAAGCTTTTCCTGCTAAAGAATTGTAGCATGAAAGGGTGATTGGTACTTTTCAGTCTTTGAAATTGCACAGTACTTTAACACTCATCGGTAAATAAACATTATTTTCTTTCCAATATTTCTGAAAGTGAGTATATTCGAATATATGATTTGCACATGTATTCGATCTTCCTAACAATCTAAAGGAAAAAAGTGTATACTAATTATTACAACATTTTTAATATATTTGTATATTAGATTCATATTAATAAAAGAGCTAACCTCTGAATCGTGAAAAATTGTATCCAATGATTTGGGCCTCATAGCATGAATGGAAACATGATAAAATCTAATCGCTATCAGTTTTAGCATCAAAAGCGACGACCTCTCATCTATATTTCTTACCGCGGTTAAGACCCTCATGCTTTGCTCAAAGGGCAAAGTCGAAAACGCACTTCAAAGAGCTAATTATGAAAGTGATTGTGAATCACCATATTCATACTAAGAAAGTTTTTTGTTTCTTATTGTATTGTCCTATTTTCGAATTTTTATTTTTCATAATTTTTAATTTTTCGAAACAATCACAATCATTTTAATTCACCCGTGCGATGCACGAGAAATTTTATTAATTATTGTTTGAGGTGATTATTAAAAGAAATACGGAGTAATACACTTCATTTTAAATGTAAAAGTTATACAACTTAAATAAATTTTTAAATGTGGCAATAAAAAACATTAACTAATACTCCGGGTAATAAACTTGTGTGTATGTTTATGTGTATTACGGAGTATTTTTTATGAAAGTAGGTGGCCAGATATAGTGTGGCAGACATACATTGGTTCATTTGGCACTTGACATATTTACTTTTAAAAACAATTCATAATAAAATCTAATAATCAAGATTGCATATTACGATGGGAGGGGTGTCCTATATTATGAACTTGGAAATCTAGATGCCATTAAAATACGTTATCCTATAATTACCCACTTAAAAATTTCTAAAACACATTTTGTTGGACGTACAACATCGAGTTCTTAGAATTCGACAAGCAAGACATTCAAGAAAATAAAAAAATAATCACACTATTAAGATTACTATGGCCCCGTTTGGTATACGGAATTCAAACTATGGAATTGGAATTGAGGACTCCAATTTCAATTATGGTGTTTGGTAGCACAAAAATTATGTGGATTTGGAATTGATAGTGCAAAAAATGAATTGGAATTGGCAGAATTCAATTCTATGGAATTGAATCTCGTGGAATTTCATTTCCAATTCAATTCCAATTCCGTCAATTCCGTATACCAAACGGACTCTATATGTAATCTGGAAGTGGGTTAATTGAAAGAATTCAACCATCATTTCGCTGTAAGCATATACGGAGTATACGGTTGTCAAGTATTTGTCCACTTTTATTTTTGCACACCATCCAAAACATTTCTTTAATCCATTTTATCTTGTAATTTGTATATTAAAAAAATTATAGAAATTATATATTAATAATCTATATGTTAAAGACAAATCAAACAAGATCACACATGAATATATTTAGGCTTACATATTGATAGAATTTGATGAGTCAAAGTATTTAAATAAATAATTCCAAAAGTCAAAAGTGGACGAATATAGCGGGACGGAGAGTATCTTATATTCTTGTGGTGTCAAAGGAGATTCTAAATTTTTGTTTTGCCCCGAATCCGAACAGCTGAAGAAATATGGCCGATCGATTCCAATTGAAGATTAGGATGGGTTTAGTTTCTTTCTTGGGACTCGATCGATTGGGGTCGGGGCTACGTTTCCGGTGGGAAGCGCCATGGGGACGGGGTCACTACTGCCATACAAACATGATTATCGCCGGGCAGATGAAACCCAGGAAGAGCTTGTGGGCGCAGATTGTTCGTCCACGCAATCCCAAGATCTATGTCAAGCCTAAGCTAGACAATTGGGTTAAACATCATAAGACAAAGG